CAGCTGTATTCAATAGATCAGCCATCTTTAATTCTTCATTCGAGTCACATTGTGTTCTTCTTTCCATTTATTTCCCTAAATTCATTAAAGTAGCAAAGATCATTTCAAGCGAAATGGAGTAACAGCACCACGTTGCTATAATGGCATAAAAAGCCAAGTATGGAGTCAATGATTGACAGCGTACAAAAAGATCAAACAATTAGACCTTGAAGGGAAATAAAGAATAAAGCAGATGTTTTATGGTATAAGGCTTGCACAGAAAAAAGAGGAAAGAATTGAAAAATATAAGACACAATGTGTACAATAACAAATATCAATACAGAGAATGAGGATAGCTGTGTCATTTTATATTTTATGGTGAGCACCATGAACCATCAAAACCTTAAAATCAAATGCACCATGCTTGATGCATGTTTTCCACGGATGTCTGGTTCACCACAATTGATTGCTCCCATAAGGCGACAAACCCTCTGACATATTTTCCACATGCACATATATTGTCGCTGGAGTGGTCGCTAAGTACAACTCTTTCCAAGCCAGTTAATCTAAAAACATGTGGGAACAGGAAAATCCAACATGTATTTACACCTATACAATATATATACAATACGGTAGGTCGTACTATTAACTAGACTGTTTAGAGAAGAGCTTACAAATGCATTTTATAATCTTATTATGATTACATGTTAATTCGAATTTGATGTTTTGCTGCTTACACTGAGGAAGAGCCTGGTTCTCAGTCATTAGTCGTCCTTTCACTAAACCTCAACCTCCCCTTTACACTGACCCCGCAGGGTCATCTGTGGGCAAAGGCCATGCAAGGAAGAGGGCCAAGCCCAGCGTATATCATTGCTTGTTTAAGACAAAGAGAAAGTTAACATGTTGAAACCAAAAAAACACTAAAACACTGTCATTTGATCTGTGAAGCAATGACCTCAGTGTGTGCACGATGAGGGCTGCAGAGGGCACAGCTTTCTGCTGTATTTAGTTTGAGACACAAAAGAAATGAAAACGTCACTGGCTTAATGGGGACTAATGAATAATAGCGCTCTTTGTAACTGTTGAACGAGACAGATCAGGCCTTTTGCAGTGGGAGCACGCTCCAAGTTTGACGACTCCACGATGTATAGAGGCCTAAGGCAGAAGCTGACTTGTGCGGAGACCTCGCTATGTACATCTGGCAGAAATTGAGGATGTTTCATCCATTAACTGTGGCATCTGCGGAGCATTAATGAGCATGTGGGTAGCCCGCTCACCCCTAAATGAGCTATCCAGTGCGATCATTTTGCTAACTCTGAAATGTGCTGTAGGTGATAAAAGCTAGTTAGTGGCTGAGCGGCTGAAGTGAAGTTAAAGTGATGGCTAGAGGCCTGCATGGAAACCTGTGTGCCAAAGCAACACATGATCCAGAATTCTCCCTGCAGTGGTTGTTAGTCTGAGAGAGCTGCACATCTGGGGCCCATCGTTATTTTCACACTAAAAAGTTTACCTTAAGCTTCTCACAGTCCTTTTGCCATAACCCTGACTTTCATTAGACTAAAGAAATCATCTTTTCGTTCTGAAGTTGACATTTTCATTGAGTCAACATTAAAATCTATTGTTTGTTTCTTTATTTACATGCAGCTTATTGCTGAAACTGCTTTCTCTGAGACCATCTGTAAAAAATTCACAACAGATTTTTGATGTCAAATTCAGTTCTTTTTCAACATGCTCCTTTCGGATCTTAATGATGAAAGGACAGCGACAGGGGTTTAGTGGAATGAATAGCCTCACAGGAGGCTCGGAGACTGAATGAATAACACATCAGGGAGGCATCAGACAACTTACAGTGCAGAGACTTTTTCCTCAAAAATAACAATAACTTCATCGCAGGAGCTATGAAGTTCAGACGCAGCTCAGACAACCTGACGTGAGCACTGAGCCTACAGGGCATTTATATTGGTTTTGTCCTTTCTTTTATAGATGTTGTCAACTATAAGCAAATGGAATATGTGAATCTTGTTGTTTTATTGGTTTTTACTGTTTCCACATGTGCTTTACATTTTTCCTATTTTTTTGCTCACATCATGAAGGTTCATCATAGCAGATGTTCACATATTTACTGTAGATCAAGAAACCTATCTATCTATCTATCGTCTATCCATCCATCCATCTATCTATCTATCT